AGGTTGCTGTGAGCTGTAACGCCACGGCACTCCGCCCACGGGGACAGCTTGAGGCTCTGTCTCAAAAAAAAAAATAAAAAATAAATAAATAAATGGGAAAGGACTTGAAAATGTATCTCTCCAAAGAGGATATACAAATGGCCAACAGGCTCATGAAAAGATGCTTAACATCTTTTAAGTCAAAAAACAAGATACCACTTCATACTCACTAGGATGGCTATGATTTAAAAAAAATAACAGCAAGTGTTGGTGAAAACAGAACCCCTGGACCCTGCTGATGGGAATGTAAAATGGTGCCACGCCATGGGGACAGATTTACCACGTGACCCAGAGAGTCTACTCCTGCGTATGTACCCAAAGAATTTAAAACAGGTGTTCAAACAAAACCTTGTATGTGAATGGTCATAGCAGCACTACTCACAACAGCCAAAATGTGGAAAGAACCCATAGTCCACAACCAGTGAATACATAAACAAAACATGGTCTAGCCACACAATGGAATATTAGCCATAAAAAGGAACGTAACACTGATGCGTGCCACAGCATAGAAAAGCCTGGAAAATATCAATACTAAATGAAAGAGGCCAGACGCAGAAGGTCACAGGTCACTGTTCCATCTGCATGACATGCAGAATAGGCAAGTCTACGGGGACAGGAGACAGACGAGTGGTTCCCTGGGTCTGGGGGAGGAAGGGGGAATAGGAGGGTCTCCTGTGGAGAGAATAAGATGTTCTGGAACTAGGTAGTGATGATGATTGGACCACATAGTGAATGTATTAAGTGGTACTTAATTGTACACTTTAAAATAGTTAAGTTTTATATTTTGTATGTTTTACCTTTTTTTTTTTTTTAATGGGCCAGTGGCCTAGTATGGTGGCTCACAGCTGTAATCCCAGCCCTTTGGGAGGCTAAGCCTAGGAATTCTGGACTGCAGTGAGCTATGATCATGCCATTGCAGTCCAGCCTGGACACTACAGCAAGACCCTGTTTCTAAAAAATAAAAATAAAACTTTAGGTGGTGCCTGTAGCTCAGTGGGTAGGGTGCCGGCCAAATACACCAAGGCTGGAGAGTTTGAACCCAGCCCCAGCCAGCTAAACAACAACAACAACTGCAACAAAAAAATAGCCAAGCGTGTGGCAGGAGTCTGTAGTCCCAGCTACTTGGGAGGCTGAGGCAAGAGAATCGCTTAAGCCCAAGAGTTTGAGGTTGCTGTGAGCTGTGACACCATGGCACTCTACCCAGGGCACTCTACCCACTCTACCCTTAAGACTCTGTCTCAAAAAAATAAGAAAAGAAAAGAAAAAAAAACATAAAAACTTGAAAAAGATGAGCCAAGAAGGGAGGCAGGAGAAGGATGTCACAGACTACGGTGGTGATCTCAATGAGATGGGGAGCCAGAGACAGAGCCATGCAGACGCGAGGAGGGTTTTCTGGGAGGAACAGACACAGATAGGACAGAGGCCTTGGGAGAAGTCCTAGACGCTCAGGACAGTCCGGGTTGATGGCTGTGTTCTGACATCGCAACTGCTTCATCCACTTCACAAAAGTGACCCAGTTGAGGCCATGAATAATGTGGTCCCTCAACTGAAAGGCCCTGGCCCATGCACAAGGTAGGGACCAGCAAAATCCCCAGTTGGCAAATGAGAGACTTGAGAGACATTTGGGTTCACTGTGCTCCCATCTTCTCTCTCTGGTTGGGGCCTCCCACGGCCACTGCCCAGCTTGGAGGGTGGTGGTACCAGGACATCTGCGGTAGGAGAGTCACCCCACAGATCCCCGGGCATCGAGGACAGGGTGTGATGGGCTCTGTCACATCAGATGGGCGTGGCTCTCCATCCCAGTCCCACCCCTTATTAGCTGAGTGACCTCGGCCTGTTCCTTAACCTGTCTGGTCTTAATTCTCCACCTACAAAATCAGGACAGAGACTAGAGACCCTTAGAAAGGGTGAAAGAATCAATATCGGGGAAGCTCCAGGTTTAGTCAGGCTTAGGCCATTTTTACTTGGCTCTCTCTGGCTTCCCACCTCGGGTGGAAGGAAAGGAAGTGAGCATTTCTGCTGAGTAATGCAATTAAAAAAAAAATCTTAGGAAAGGAAGACAAATCCTGATATCTTTAAGCATTTACAGCACTAAATATTTTAGGTAACCCACACAAAAGTGTACACACAGACACACATACCCTCATGGGCCCCAACTTTGGATGAAGCCCCCACTGCACAGCTGGGCCGGAACCACAGACACATACCCCAGCAGGGTGCTCGGCACAGCCGACGGTTACTGGGGATGTCCAGACACATTTCTAGCGTCTCCACCACCCCCCCCCAACATGGAGAATCCCCCACATGCCCACTTAGAAATATTTAACCAAAATGCACTGGAGGGGGGGACTTCCTGGAGACTGGAGACAAATGCAGGGAAGCACAAGCTCATTTAAGGTCGAGAGAGAAAAATACAAACTGCCCTCAGAACCCTGTGACAGGGTGGAGAGACACACCCCACTGGAGCAGCAACTGCCAGGTGTGACAGTGTTTTAAACCAGCCAGGTCTCTCCTGTGCAGACTGTAGTCACGTCCACGTGAAGGCACCCTTGGAACCTCCTAAGGTCCCAAAGGCAGCAGGGTGCCGGGGGGATGGTGATGCAGCAGGAGGCTGTGTAGGTGTGCCAGCAGCGCTCTTCATCGCAGCCACAAGCACAGAGCTGAAGGAGCCCTGGCGGAACCTTCCTGTAATTAGCCCAATAATGGCCCTTCCATCTCAGGCTGGGAAGGGGGCGCTTAGAAGCACCCCCATCAGCGCCCTGACGCGCCTCTGACTGGTGAAAGTGCAATTTAAAAAATGTTTAGGTTGGCTCGGCACCTATAGCTCAACCGGCTAAGGCGCCAGCCACGTACACCTAAGGTGGCGGGTTCGAATCCCCAGCCCGGACCCGCCAAAGCAACAATGACG